GGACAATTTCCACGCGTGATGATTGGTTCACACATTAGAGGGATATCTTCGCGTGTCTGCTCATATCCATTTCAATCCACGTCATATCTGGGTTTGCTGGGACACAGCAGATGACCAGATAGGCTTCCAAAGTCCTCTATTTGTGCCTTTGAGGGAAGCTTGACTCTTCCATTATCATTACAAGCCCTTTGCCCTTTGACATATTCCTGTAGAATGCTTTCTTGCGTTTCTGTTAAAAAGAGAATTCTGTTGCTTCCTCGTAGTTGCAATTCCTGTAGCGTCGAAGGCTTTTGTTTAACGCCAAAAGCTTTTGGTCGTTAGGGTGTCAAGATGTTCTGTTTTGTTGCAATTCAAGGGGCTCGTGGCTTCGTATGAATTTTTGATTGATGAGGATTGTATTCACCTTTCTTCTCAGTTTTTCTGAATATTTCCATTTTTAAATTGGTGAAGTCTTCCAATATCTCTCCTAGTGCTTTCTATACGATTCACCAGCGTCTTTCCCAAGGGGGCATTCTTTTTCCCACTCGATCATTGCGGAAAGTTGCTTCGCCCCGGCTGAGAAGCTGGAACCCGTTACATTCTGAAAGCCACAACCTGCCAGCACATAAAATTGCTGTGTGTACTTCTTCGAAGATGTCTTTGTTGTAGATGTTGTGGCAGTACTTTCTCATTTCAAGACGCTGATTGCCTTTTTTTTTTTTTTTTTTTTTTTTTTTTTTTCTTTTTTTTTTTTTTTTTTTTTTTTTTCTTGCTAATTCTCTTCGAGCAATTTGTCCTATGGAATGCAGATAGCGGTTCAGTGGGTCCGTTCCTTCAAATCCGCAAGAGCGGACTGCAAAATTCCATTGCGAATTTCCCCTCTTCTCTACTCCTTAATCATCCATAACTTTCTGACATGCTTGTCCCATGTCATCCTGATTTGCAACAGCATGATATCTCCACTGCCCTCAGATTACTAGGTCTGAGGAGTTAAGCATGTTTCTCACTCCTCCTTGATTGTTCCAAAACCTTGGTGCAGAGAAGGAGATTTTGTCTGAAACCCCAATTGCTCGACGCTGGTCCGCTATTTCTTTGCTCCCACTAAACTTCAGAATCAGAAACGGTGAAGAAATCGTTGCGTTGTAACTTTTGTCCGTAGGCCCGTAGTGTCAGTCTCCATATTTGGTAATGGTCTGTAGTATTCACGCATGATGAAGCGTATTTATTTTCTATAGTCCACTTCATCCTCTGCGTTGTCTGCCTGCGGCAGTGGTCTCTGGAAGCAATAGATTGCTTCTCTTGAAGCACTTGCGGCAGGTGCAGCTTATAAGTTGGAGATGGCATGCGGTGTCTATGTTCGGGCTGTAGTATATTCGGGCGTTATCCCGACAGGGCCCGCCTGTGTCAGCTCACTGAATCACCCCGGACTCGCATGCTGCTTCACCTCCAGCGGTGGGGCCGAAGGTGCCCGCGCGCTCCCCAGGCAGCGAGCTGCTTTTCGAGGGCCTTACGACGCATATTCCGTGTCTCCATATCTCTATGGGTGTGCCATCGCCCCTGTTTGCCCGCCAAAAATTTTCTGGACCGTTGCCGTCTCCCACCGTGGGCTAAGTTCTCAATTGCTCGGACGTAGGGCTGGCTTTATTATTATTATTATTATTATTATTATTATTATTATTATTATTATTATTATTATTATTATTATTTCACAGTTTTTATATTGTTAAAATAGAAGTGCTACAGAATGACACAGACTTTCCCCTATTAGATTCCTATTTCCTTAGGTCTCAGCTAGCTTCTCGGAATTGCCATATACTCTTGCCATATATCGTCGCCAAAAGCACATTCTTTGAAATTTTCTTAATTTTTTGGTTTTTAAACAACCTCGTCCTCTATGGCAATTTTTTTAAAAAAATATGAAGCCGTTTTTAAAAACAAAGGTTCAATTTTAAGAACTTCAACTCACAATCACCAAAGTGCTTACCAATTTTGTGGAAATGTGCATATCAATGGCGTGAGAAATCTTTTAAAAAAATGTACATTTGTGCAATT